GTGTCTCTGGTCTAACTGAACTTGCACCACCTGAGAGCCCAAACAGCCTGGCACTGGAGAGGCAAACAGCCCAAACAGCCTGGCACTGGCAGGGCTGGCAGGTAAGGGGGATCTGCTTTTTGCTTCTCAGCGGCACCTGCTGGATCTGAACGTCATTGGGACGCTGCCTGCGGACCCCACAGTGCCGCTTGCTGCAGCTCGACTTTCCAGGGTCGAACAGCCATTAGGGCTGGCAGGCGGAATACGGCCAAACCGCCACAGACTGTCCAGAGTGAGAGGACATGGCCAGTCCAGTTTGTGTTTCTCCCCCTTGTGATGCACACAGGCCTCTAGAGCACCCTGTATTCCAGTACCCCGGGCTTTGCCCCCGCCGAGCAGCAGTCTCTTCGACTTTGGCTTCTCTGTCTCCCAAGTTTTGCTTCCCACTCTCCTGCCTATCAAAGCAGAAAGTTTTCCCCCAAGTATGGAACTGGCTTTAATTTGATAATTATTGCTGTCAGCTCTTCCCTTTGAACTTCCTTGTTAATTTATCTCCAGGAAGCATCACATCTCAGAGACAATTAATCCAAACATTCAATTAAAAAGGGGCAAATTTAGAAAAATCTCCTATTTAATTAAAAATCTGCGATGCTGTGAAGGAAGAAGGCCTAAAAGCCCCGCTGAAAAAGGCAGCTGGTTAAATGCCAATCTCTGTGTCGTGATTCGGGATCGCAGCTCCGGCCTGTGAGCTGGCTAGAGCTGAGAGATGGGCCCACGCGCAGGCATGAGTGGTTTAAATGGACGCCAGCCTGAGCCTGCATTAGCTTCCCCACGCTCCCTCTCACACAGCGGTGCTAACGCCATCGCGAGAGGCCCTGGCAGCGCCGCTCCCTCTCCGCCGTGGTGTCTGGGAGTCGGAGCACCCCGACGCGTGTGCGCTTGACACTGGCCTTTGTGAATCTCCCTGGGCAGAGGCAAACTGCAGTCCTAGGCTGGAACTGGTTGGGAACCCTCCGGCTGACTACCCCACTGTCCCGCTTCCCACGGGGGCGAGGGTTGAGGCCTGGTGCAGCTCGCGGCTGGCAGTCAGCGCTGGGAGACCAGGCAAAGGCTGTTCTGGGTGAGGGGGTGCAGGGGACGTTGGTATTACCGAGCAGGGCGTGAGAAATGCTGGGAGAATAATGCAGTGCCAGCTGGGTTGGGGGGCAGCAGAGCGATTTCCAGGGAGACGCTCTGGTCTGCACACGTAACAGGTCAGCCAGGGCCCCTGGCACTAGAGGGCCTGTGACCCAAGTTCTCCCGGCTGTGTCCGGGTTCTGGGGCTGTACAACCAAAAGCCGACGTCGCTAGCGACGGGCAAGACACCGTTCTGCTGGCTCCCCAGCCACGGCCATGGCTGGGGGCAGAGGAAGGAGGAGGTGATGGCTCCAGCCTGGCAGGGCAGAGCAATCCGCTTTTGCGCATGGACTTACTGCAGCCACTTCATCCAGCTCTGAGTGAGCCCTGAGGCGGGTGGGGGCTCTCTGGTAGGTCAGCTACAGACCGGTCGGTCCTGTGGACGCCTCTGGCAGGACGCATCCCTCTTCGCTTAGAAAAGGAGCGCCCCAGGTGGGGGAGGGGACGGGCTCTCCGGGCGACTTGTCCCGACTCCTTACAGAAGCTACTAAGGGCCCTTCCAAGCAGATTATTGGTTCTCGTCACTGCTGCCCGCTCCATCGCCAGCACAAATCAGAGAAGCTGTTTTTATCCTGGACACAAGCTCTGGAGCAGCGGTTCCCAAACTTCTCAGCATCACGCCCCCTTTTTGATTTTTGAGAAACCCTCACCCCCCCCCCAATAGCAGCAAAACTTGTTGAGCAAAAAAAACTGACCAGGTCCGAGAAACAAAAATAAAATAAAAGCAAAACTTGGGAGGAGGGGTTGATGGGGGGGAGGGGCTGGATCGCCTCCTTTCAAAGCTCTGGGATGTATCTGACAGCTGAGTGAGCTGTTCTGTTTGGGGAAGGAACAAAGAACAAATGATTGGACTGCTTCTGTTCTGCCGCGCACTAGAAACAGTGGCACGCACACTGCCACTGCACCGGGAAAAGGACAGACACTGTGCTGCTTTGACACTCCTTAGCACAGAGAGCTCACAGAGCTACTCATGATGCCACTCCCAGCTGTTGAGAAGGCTGTGGGAGAACTTGGCAGGAATCCTAAGAAACGCAGGGATCAGCTCTTCCTTGCCACAACACTGATCTGTGGGACTCCTACCCACAATGCATTGCTCACAGTCAGTGATGGGGGGCCCCCCACGTGGACATGATCTGTGGACCGAGGGAGCAAGTGTGAGCCCCTCTGGCTTTTTT